GCAGTTCCTGCAAGAGGAAGGAATTGATGCTGGCCCGCCCGATCCCCAGAACTGAATCCAATTGAGCACATCTGGGACATCATGTCTCGCTCCATCCACCAACGCCACGTTGCACCACAGACTGTCCGGGAGTTGGCGGATGCTTTAGTCCAGGTCTGGAAGGAGATCCCTCAGGAGACCATCCGCCACCTCATCAGGAGCATGCCCAGGCGTTGTAGGGAGGTCATACAGGCACGTGGAGCCACACACACTACTGAGCCTCATTTTGACTTGTTTCAAGGACATTACATCAAAGTTGGATCGGCCTGTAGTGTCGTTTTCCACTTTGATTTTGAGTGTGACTCCAAATCCAGACCTCCATGGGTTGATAAATTTGATTTCCATTGATAATTTTTGCGTGATTTTGTTGTCAGCACATTCTACTATGTAAAGAGAGTATTTAACAAGATTATTTAATTCATTCAGATCTAGGATGTGTTATTTTAGTGTTCCCTTTGTTTTTGTTTTTTTTTAAGCAGTGTATATACGCACACACACACAGCTATCTTTTCCTAAGCATTGAAGTCTGCCTGACATTACAGACCCTCCTATAAAATCACCACCAGATTCTCCCTCATCTGATATTTCTGAGACGGTTCTATGATGACTGGGATTTTAGGAGGTAACGTTTAACAAACACAAAAATTTCCCCAATCTCTACATGGTTGTTTCCTAAAGTTAACATTACTATAATAGGTGTGGTGACTTAAAGTGGGACCTATGCAATGTTAGATATTGTGTGGGTGTAGCTTTCAGGTATTTGGTAATCTGAAGTTCCAATCTGGCTTTTTTACATTTACATTTTTATTTATTGATATTGTGTTAACACAACTTCACGCTGTGGTAAAGAGGTGAATTTTTTTTATCTTGTAACACTGCTTTAAGTTGAAAAATGTCAGGGTGTGGAAACATAAAACTAAAGAGTTGAAACAGAAAACTTCTGTTAAACCACATGGTGGTAAATAAGTTTATATCTATGTCATGAAAGTGTTGACGTCACATTATTTCTTTATATCGAAATTTTTGAATGCCATATACGGTTTAGAGTCGGCTCAAATTTGGTTACTCAGTGCCAGAGGACAGTCGGATGTGCCGACTCTCAGCTGGATACCAGACAAGATGTAGCTGGTTCTTGGTCTCAACATTTAAGTGGTTGATGATCTGCTGGTCAGTAAGCAGATCAGTCCATCAGTCAGCAGGTCTGTTGGTAAGTCCATGAGACAGAAGGTCTGTCTGTAGGTCAGTAGGTCAGCGGTGGTGTCACAGATGCAGACTGATCTTGCCCTCCTTGTGGAGCTGGTTGATGATCTTTGTTTCGAAGTCGGCATTGTGGACGCCGGTTGTCTTAAAGGCTCCAGCATAGCGATTCGCCTCCCAGTAGTGATGCCAGTTCCCCTGGTGGTCAGCTCCGTAACCAAACACCGACACCTGAACACAGACAGAAAGTAATGCCATGACATACTGCAATATAATATACTGTGACCACTGTGACACACTACATAACCAAGTATGACATGCTGTACTGTCACGTAACATATCCTGCATTTGTACATTTGAAAGTGACATGTGAAGATTTACTCTGATACATTATGATATGACATACAGGCACGGTACAAGGCAACCGAGCCTAGTGTGAGTACACCCTTTCTCTTTATCTTTCGGTCAGTTCTGTTCTCATGGTGTGACAATGCATTCAAGAGCAGAGACTCTTTGGAAAACTCTCCCAATCCGAGTATCTCTGAACGCACCACAGACAGGGATAATCAAACATGGGAGTAAAAGAACAATGTAAATTTTGTTGTTATCTCAGTGTCCTTGAATGATAGTCTTTGCTCTCTGCTGCATTACTACAGTATATGACGACAACTTAAGTTTGACTGAAGAATGAAGTTGACTGTGTGATATGTAGGAGTCAGAGATGAAGACACAGGGTGCTTCTCAAGTCTCTTATTTGTCGTCTCCTCGATCCTTGCTTGAACCGGAAGTTGTTCTGCTCCGCCATCTTGCGGACCGTCCCAAAGCTCTTATTTGCGTTTGAGGAGCGAGGATCAAGGAGCGATTTCTGAGGAGCTATGAGCGAGGATACACCAGTGCATCCTTCGCGGAAGTCTTTTACTGACCGACACGCCCCCTTACTGGGTAGCCGTTATATTGATTGGACGCTGCAGCTGATCGGACTGATCTGCTGACATCAGATAACATTAAAGTCAAGTGCATCACTGCAAAGAGTTACTATAGCCTATTTGATTTGTTTTATGATTCACTGTCTAGTTAAAATCTGAGTTCATTGTAGGTCTGAACAACAAAAGCCCCACACACAACTTTATACATTTATTATAAAGATTTTATTTTTCCTTTATTTCTCCCATCAGCTTTTATTATGGAGACTATTAAAGTCAAAGGGAGTCGGGGAGTCTATCAGCAATAAACACGTTTTATATCA